GAGCTCTGCGCGAGTCGGGGAATTCAGCGCACGCACCGCTCATCCGTTCGTCGATTACCAATCACGCGATTTTCTTCGACTCCGCAGCGGCTCTCCTGACGTCGTGAGTTGGGTTACGTTCAGCTGCAAATCTCTCGGAAATTATCGGTTGGACGCGCGCGCCCAACGACTCGGTTATGCACCTCTTACTTGTATAACTCGACGTCTTCTTCGGCCGGGATTTGTGATTTCACAGGGACGCCACTTATCTCAGCCTACGATAACGGCTAGCCTGAAAATTTGTCAGCGTGCGTTCCGACTAGTCTATTAGATGGTGCAGTGTCGCTGCGTCAGTGCAATTGACGCGGTGCGTGATGTGCCGTGCGCATCAGCCCATCGAATACAGTTCCTGGCGCCAAGGTAAACTCCCGAGCGGCAGTAGTGTGTATATCATATTTGCGCACATTACAGTCGAAACTGGATCGAGACCGATTAATGTAGCCATCGCAACGGGCTTGATGGGCGAGATCAACAATTAACTGGAGACGCGTCGGGGTGTGTTTGCGAGAGTCAAACATTTAAAGGGATACTTTGCAAGCACCCTCCTGTCAATGGGAGCTACTGATCGCCGCTCGACGTGCTTCGCGCGCCAGGAGAACGCCTATTTCTCGCGCGTGTTTGTCGAAACTCAACGGTGCGACGGACCTCGATTCCCCTTTGAAATCCAAGCGAGTAGCTGGCTATAAGTCGATGAGCCATAAATTAACGACATTGAAAGGCAGATGCTCGAGACAAAGGGGGTCTCTGGTGAAATACATTTTGTCCGCGGCGTAATTACTGCGATGAAGAGTAAAAAGCGAACGGGGTGTATTCATCGAAAGTTTTTAAGCGCGACGCTCTTCGAGTATTCCAAACTTTTACAAAGGCATCGCTGCTTAATGGAATTTCTCGAGTCGCCGAGTGTTCCGCGCAACGAGCATAATATCGCCTCTCTTCTCCTGGCTGCCTTTTCGAGAGCCTCAAATATTAATGGCATACTGAGAGCGCGAGCGCAAAAATTGATTAAAGCCAACTTGAGGGGCTCTATGAAGGCCATTTAAAAACAGATTATCCAAGTTAAATAGAGGCATTTACGGGACTTGGCCGCGGCTTTTCACATTACTTTGCGATTCAGTGGTTAAATATTGCAGGCAGGCAGGTGGAACCGTGGGCGCGGCGGCGGCGGCGGCGGCGGCGGCGGCAGCCGCGTATTTGCGGAGAGATAGTTCTAACGCAAGCGTGTACGTAGGTGTACATGATGCTAAGCACCTCGGCGCAGAGAGGATGACTTGATCCGCAAGTGGGTGGATGCATATAAGCCACGGTGGCGGATGAAAAGCACGGGGCTGCACGTAATTATTGAGCGGCTTCTGGATAGATGGCTGTGAATCAATAAACCGTCATGCCTTGCGCTCACTGGCAATCTAGCCGCAAACGGACAGAAGCTTTACCTTAATTAAGAAGCCTTTGAAGAGTAACTAATTAACGAGTCCGCGAGCAAACATAATTGCGCTTCTGTAGCTCGAAAGCAATGGGACGGCCCCTACGTGTGGGTGGTTGTCTACGAGCCGCTGTCAGCACGCTCTCGGGGCCTGTGCAGTCAAATGACATTGTGGAATTGCGAGTAGCGTTTGCCGATGATTCGCTGGCTGCCCGCAAATTTGGCCGACGCGTAGCGCAACTTCAACTTGGCCGGCGGCAGTCGTCGTGACGGGTATAATTTGCCGAGGGCGCGCGTTCATTATTCTCCGCTGATTAAAAGGAAACTCCGTGCTCCACTGGCCTGGAGGAAGATTAATGCCGTAGCTTGCAATTGATAAGGGGAATTGTTGGAGCGAATTTCCCCGACTATCCTCGTGCAAGCGACTCTCTTTCTCTCGTCCAGGCGAATGATGCAATGCGTCGATATTATATCGCGGCACGTCAACAGATTGAATCGCTCTCCGTTTAGCTATGGAGAATTCGCGAGCACGGGCGCGGCCGAGATGCGAGGCGCAATCGGTCGCAAAGCGGACACTGCTCGAGCGCGCCCCGAGATATTTTAGCCGACAGCTAATCCAGGCGCGCAATATCACCTGCGAGCTGAACTTGATTTGGCCAGCCGTGGCTCATCGCCCTCCATCGAAGCGCCGCTCGTAGACGCAATAAATACGCTCCATTTGTCGCTTCCACTGGCGTATGAATAGAGAGATGTACGCTCCATGAGGACGTTCGCGTCCCAGCCGGTCATGCGCGCCTGATGGCTTATTTCAATTTGTGCTGCGTTCTTTAATAAATGCTCGCTAAATATGAGGACCGCGTCCGCAAGCAAATTCATGTATCAAATTAGGAAAGCGGCAAGAACTAACTGTTGATTAATTGAAGCTTTTGAGCTCGGCGAATCGGGCGCGAGCAACCGACGGCCGTACGGTGATATTAGAAAAAAGCATGTATTCCTCGAGTGCAGAAAGTTGATCTACGAGAGTAGCTGCGGCTGCAAGTCTCTCGTTAGAACCTCTAGTATGCAAATTTAGGAGATGCTTGACGATTTTCATGCCTCGATGGATACGCCATGATATCGTATTGCTGCGAGCTCCTCTAATTATGTATTTTGATAACGAGTTTTATAAATATCTCCTCCTTAGACTGTAAATGAGTTGGTGAATAATGAATTTCACATTAACTCTTGAGACAGAGTGTTGTTTATCATTCATAGCGTTCGCCTTACTCGGAAGAGAACAAGAGTAAAGTTATTTTTTACAATTCCAGACGCAAAAGCATGTGATTCATTCAAACAGATAAAAAGAATAAACACAAGAGCAGTGCGGATCGGAAGAAATGGGAAGGAAAAAGCGCAGATGAGCGAGTGCGAATTTCAATTTGACCGAGAAAAAGTTTTTCTCTCTCTTTGTCTCTCGCCTTGTGAAAGAGATGTAGCATCGAAATTACTGGTGCTGCCCGGAAATGAAAAGTTCTTTTGCTTTCTCTCTCTCTCTCTCTCTCTCTCTCTCTCTCTCTCTCTCTCTCTCTCTCTCTCTCTCTCTCTCTCTCTCTCTCTCTCTCTCTGTGGCTCTGCATCGCCTGAAGAGAAAGAGAGGGGGGGGGGGGGGAGATGGGGGCTCTAATGGACACGCGTTTCGGAAGCTCGGCTTTCGCACCTCATCGAGTCGAGTCGAGCGCGCTATTTGATCAGCCCCTTGACTCACTCGAGGGCGCCCGTCTACTATTTTGTTTGTCCACAGCCTCGATGCTATTTGTCAAAACGTACGTGCGCCGAGCGTCAGCACCTCGCGATTTATCCGCGGAAAGCTGGCTCGAAAATTTTCACACCACAACAACAATCGATTCCGCGCTCGCGATCAAACATTCTCCGGACTCGAGGGCATCTCGGATTATTATTATTTGTCGACACGGTACGACTATCTATCCGCATATGGAAAAAGACGTTAACAAGCTCTGCTTTCTTTTGTTTGGACAATTTAATTGTGTCAGAGCATTGTTATTTATCAGAAAGAGAGCTTTCTCGAGCCACACAATGTCAGGTTGCTTTTCACGAGACTGTTGGCAAATGGCATTTATTCAAAGACGAGACTTATCCGCTGTACGTTTTATAAGCTGCGCGCGCGCAGGTCGTTATAGCAGATCAAGCGAGCGGACAACAGATGGATCTCCCTTTGTACAAAACTGTGCGAGTAGCCGCAGCGGCAGTAAGCCTCTTTACCCAAGCACATTCGTTTGGGCAGCGCATTGCTTGTCGCTTAACGGACAGCCGTCCGGCTAACAGATGCGAATTCATCAGATTTTTACCTTAGCGACTTGCGGCTGCGTACATATTTGCCGAGTCAACGTCCAACGGCACGCTCGCGGCTATTGAAACGCTCGAAGCCAGACCTTGAAGCCCGCTCGCCGTAGTGCGGAATCGACGGAGCCCTTGATTTCGTAGAATAGCCGAATGAAGCGTTCCACTTTTTTTCCGTAGAGCGGGTTCTCGCGCAAACGCCGAGAGTTACGTGTACGCCAGCTGCGCTGAAAAATTGGAATACTTCGCTCTCGCTCTATCTCTCTCGGACTTGCTCGCTCAAAGTGCAAACCTAGCTAGAGGCTATTCGAATAGTGTGTCTGCTGGCACCGCAGCGGCAAAGGGGCAAAGAGAGAGAGAGAGAGAGAGCGAGAGAGGATGCTGCGAGCAGCGGCGCTCAAAAAGACCAGCTTCTACAGTTTGAATGATCGGCTTCGACGCGCGGAGAGAAAGAGTCAGGGACGCCTTTAACTTTAAAACGCGATGCCGTTCCGTTCGAATCAGTCGCGTCCGAGTTCATTGCTTCGTTTGCCACTCCGTTCGCTAGTTTTCTCTCGACGACTGACCGGCTGTGCTTGTCTAGCTTCGACGCGTTTAGTTTATTACGAATCAGAACTTTAAATGAGCTGCCACGGCTTTATTCCGCGAGCGCATGCATGTTCAAACTCGCCAGAGTGAATTAAACTCGAAACCAGCCGTTCACTGAGAAAAAAATTACCGATCAAAAAGTTTTTCCCAAACTTTTTTCAACGTACTACGCTCGTCTTGAATTGAATTGAATCAGTAAGCTAGCCCACGATGACTGACTCTTGAAATTTAAGCGATCTAAAATGCGGTCGGTATAATCAGCCAAAATATTTATTTAGGAGCTCAGCCGAATGAAATGGCTCGCATACTAGGATGGCTTGTGGTTATAACTTTCTCGGGTCCTGAACGTTCTCGGTCGTTTCACTCCTAATTATGCAGAAGCATAGAAACGATACGCGCGGACCGAATCGTAATTTTTTTCTTTGGTTGTTTTTTCATCAATCTGATAAAAATCGACCGAGCAATTCGCAAATAGTTAGGAGGCATCTATAAAAAAACGAATAACAACTGAATTGATATAGAGCACGTGCCCATGTGCAACCGAAATAATCGATTTGGCGAAGATGTGGTCTGTCAGAAACATATGAAGGAAATGTTGCTTGGTATTCTGTTGCAGAACACACGTTCCGAGTGGTGCTGAAAAAGAGCAGTCGTGGTCTGGGTCTGAGTGTCTCCGGTGGCGGTACTGCCGGTCCACTGCGAGTCAAACGTCTGTTTCCCCAGCAGCCGGCCGCCCTCTCGGACAAATTGCAGCCGGGCGATATCCTGCTGGCGGCCAACGGCATACCCCTCACCGGACTCACCAACTACGTAAGTCGCCCACTCGCGACCGATTCTTTCCCATCGATGACCAGTTGCCGAGGCTCGAACTCGCGTCGCTCTCGAACGCTGCTTTCAGCTGTTTATGTCCCCGTGGCGTTTTCATATCTGCGCGCCCGCGTGGATCTGCATCGAGCGATAAAGCTACGTGGAAGCAACGCCAGTGGTACACTCGTCGTCTGTCTCGCCTCACAATTAAAGTACTCCGGCTCGCTTTACGTCTGTTTCCTCGTAATAACGTGAGCGCCCCATTTCGTCCCTTTAATTTTCCAAGCGAAAACACACGATATCGCGTAATTTTCCTCGCAAGCTGAAGAGCTGTTAGCATATAAAGCGACGGAGACAACCGAAATTGCTCGGCAAGTCCGGCGATATTATCGCGCGAGTTTTTTTTTCTCCTTAACGACGTCGTTGACTTATTTCATCGCAGCGCGCACCGAATCGAGCCGGCAAAGAGAAAAAGCAGCTCGATTCGCGAAATTCGCATCTAGCGCTGCGGCAATGCTATTCGGACGCGAAAGGAAATCGATCGATGCAGAAAATATTTCAAGAGCGAGCAACGCTTGAACGAAGAAAGTTTGAAAAGTAAAAGGGAATGATGAAAAGTGAGAGAAGCAGTTGAACCGGTAGTTCGGTCGGAAGGGTAGTCGAGGTTGCCGTCCGAAAGATCGGGAATGATGGCGGGCAGGTCAATTTTGCAGAGCGTACAACAAAGCGCGCAGCCGGAGAGGTGGGTCAGCTAATGGCGCGGCGCGGTCTCATTAGTTCGCTCGGTGGCATACCTCGGTCACGTGGCAGGCGTCGCACAAGGCGAGAGAATAGCCTTGAGCGCGCAATCAAGCGCAATCGTCGATAGAATAGCCCTTGAACGGCGACAGTGTACATCCACCACGAGTAGCATCTCTGGCCTGTCCTCGCACGCAGTGTTTGTTACCTTACCCGGCCAAGTGCCATTGAGGCGTGCGGCCGCCGGCCGAGGACATACGGCCTCGCTCTTCCATCGCGCACAATGGACGACTGACGACGCGTCGTCCAACAGACCAAGATTTACATGCTATTAGCATAGTGCCATACTGACCGTGTTATCGCTGTTCGCCGCGCCGGCCACCATTCGTGACGTGCATGCTCGCCGCGTCTCGTCACTTTTCACAAGCTCCAGCTCTCTTCCCGTTCGCTCGCTTGCAATCGCGATGACGATGATCGGTTCGCATTTGAAAATGATTGATTTTTTGTTAAACTTGGCAAGGCCAAATCAAGAGTAATTTTCCACCAAAATCAACTTGATCTAATTTAATTTATCCATACAGATTTATTTATGCTTCACAAAGTATCAGCAAATCGCGTACGATCATCGATACTCATTTACTCGATTAGTCTGTAAGCGTTGTCTAAATGTATTCTACGTTTACCCTGTTTATATTGTATTTCACTATATCCAATCGTTTTATTTGCTTTAGTTATTTATTATTTCTATATCATACGGCTTTCGCCGCGAGAGCCATTGTTCCGGAGCTTACATATACGTCTCTCTCTCTCTCTCTCTCTCTCTCTCTCTCTCTCTCTCTCTCTCTCTCTCTCTCTCTCTCTCTCTCTCTCTCTCTCTCTCTCTCTCTCTCTCTGGCTGTTTAGATTATTGTAATTTTAATCGAGATTCGTTCAGTGGGCAGCCAATATCGAACTGCGAAAGAGTTTTATTAAACGCAAGTTTCGTTGCAATATACATTTGCAGGAAGCTTTGGAAGTATTGCGTACGACGTCGAGCACAGTGGAGCTAGTGGTGTGTCGGCTTCCTGGCGAGGCTTCGAATAGCACTGGACCACCGACTACGGCACCGCCACCACCGCCGACCAGGCGCGAAAATCCTGGGCTTACTCTCAAGATACCCTTGAATCCCTTGCCTCCCCTCGAAGTCGAACCGTGCGGAGTAAGTATATCGTTTGATTCAATTTTTCCCCTTTAAAGCTTCCTTCGCCTTTCAACTGTTAGATCCTGCGAGGTTTTCCGCTAACTTTGTTCGTTACGAGAGTTTTCAGAAATCGACTTCGTCTCCAGCGCTGATATTTTTATTATATTAAGAATCACACAAATTTTCAATTTCATTAATGAATATTGGCGGCAGAGCCGAACATCGAATTGACTCTTTGAAAGTCAATATCACGGGTCGAGTTACAAATTTCATTGAAATGTCAAATGAAAACGTCTGTTAATTATAAAAGTCAAATTAAAAGGGCCAATTTCGATTTGTATGTAATTAGCGTTCATTTGGCCATACGGAAATTCGCAAATTGAAGCACGAGCCGAATCTTCCAATGAAACCGAGCGTAGAGTCGAAGCTTTGAATCAAACTGTTATTTTCAGGAATTCGATATCGAGATGACGAAGGTAGGTGGCAGTCTCGGTTTCACGCTTCGCAAGGCGGACAGCAGTGCTCTGGGACACTACGTGCGCGCACTGGTGCGTGAGCCGGCGCTCAGCGACGGGCGTATCCAGCCGGGCGACAAGATCGTGGCCGTCGACGACGAGCCCCTCTCGCCCATGAGCCACGAGGAAGCTGTGGCATTGCTGCGACGCTGCGGCCCGCGAGTGAAACTTCGCCTGTATCGCGATCCTGCGCAGACTCCCGTATCGGCGCTCTCGCCCACCGAGCCCGATCATCCGCTCCGTCCTACCAAGACTTGCCTGAGGTCGGTACTCCATAACTTATTGCTTCTATACGGCTGCTGCACAACTAACGACCTGCAGGTTCCTTGCCTGCGAATAAATGCACCGTGTCGCCTCCCGTTCGTTCGCACCTCACTCGCTAATTGGCAAATATCGCGTTAATGATTTTCTACGTACCTTGTTTGCTTGTCTGCTCGCTTAACTTTACGTCACTTGGTACGAGTTGTCTTCCTAACTGAATATCATGCGTGAAATGTCGTTACAGACAAGAGGCTGTGGACATGCTATGCGATTTAGCTGTACGAAAATTGTCACCGGGCACGTCGAGCGGTTCGAGCGGCCAGCGTCAATCGTCCGGTGCATCCTGCAATTCGCCGAGAAGACTTCGTCGTCCGGGCGCTCGCTTGTCGAACGCCGACACGGACGAAGGTGGGTCAGCTAGCCTAGCGCTCAAGAGCAACGACGTCGCGATTCGATCGAAAGGCTCAGTGACGAAAGGCTGTAATTTGCGCTTGGCAGGTGGCAATGCCCGGAACAAGCGTCACTCGCACGCGTCGTCGGCCAGCCAGGAGACCTCGGACTCGGACCAATGCTCCATCAAGACGCAGATCACGAACTCGCAGCCGGAAACGCCGGCGTCCAACGACGTGGCCGACTCGCCGCTGGTCTACGAGGTTTACGAGTCGAGCGACTCCACGTCCTCGCGAGCAACGCAACACCGGCCTTCCCACCTCGAGCTGCGCCCGCAGCACCCATTACCGCATCAACTGCTCCAGCAGCAGCAGCAGCAGCAGCAGCAGCAGCAGCACCGCCAGGAGCGACCGCGATTCCAGTTCGGTGTCGAATCTGACACGAGTGGCGGTGGACTAGTGATCTTCACCGCTAGCGACAACTCCGAGCAGCCGGCCTCGATGCCACCGCTCCACCACAGCGGCTCCAACGCTACCGCGGCCGCTGCATTCAGCCACAAGAATCCGGCCTACCAGAGTGTCAACCCAGCCTGCGGCACTCTCGCGCTGCCTCGTCATCATGAGCCAGCCAAGAGCAAACTTTCACACTCCAGCGAGCAGGATATTCCAGGTAGATCGGTCTCATCTGCATGTTACGCCTTCTTCGAATGCCTTTTCTTATTTTCTCTTTATTTTTCTACTTGATTTATTGCTTCGATATCAATCAATTAAAAAGTAACGAAAGTTCAATGCTTTAATTTTTTTGCGTGTGCAGAAACATAACAAGAGACGTAACGATACGTGGTCCCTGTCTTTCACATTAAATACCGTTACAGTTCCATATCGATTCGATAACGTGACTGAATTTTCAAAAGGCGCAACCAGCGGGTTACGTGACTACGATTGCGTAGATAAAACTAGTAAATTTGCATGTCTTCACAATCAAGGTAAAATTATCGGTGCTGATGATCCAGGCGGCAGGAAAGGTCTACTAAAGTGGAAAGGGGTGATGTTTGCACCTGACGACTCCGACGAAGCAGACGGATCTCAGGTACAAGACGACAGAGAAGTTTTGGAATCAGCCGCCTTAGCCGATCTTCATGAACAAGGATACGAGGTAGACAGATCATTCAAATTCAATAGTCGTGTTCTTTATGTTGGCATGCTTTGTGATTGTACGAATACATAATCCTTCAACCAACAGGTGTTCATGGTAGAGCTCACACGAGGATGGAATAGCCGACTCGGTTTCAGCTTGCAACCAGATGGAGATCATACAGTGATATCAGTAGTCCACCCCGACAGTGTGGCTGCTAAAGATGGAAGACTCAAACAAGGCGATATTTTGATTATGGTAATTGATGTGCCTGTTTTTATCTGAAAATTAATTTCAAGGATCAACATTGAAGTACATAATCATTCTTTCGAATTTTGCAGGTAAACGATGAAAGTGTTGAGCACATGTCTACGGCCAATATTATCGACTTACTCCGAAAGATACGAGGATCCATTGGCATCACCGTACTCAGGCGCAGAAAGGACGATACGGCAGTGTGATGCTGAGACTGCGCTGCTTTAAAATTCGAAGTTTTTTATTGAGTGAAATTTTACTTTTGGTCGTTAGAATGTTCTGTCAAATCTCACACTGTACTAAGCAGATTAATTAATGATGCACTTTTGCGACAATTTTCGCCCAACGGAAGCTCGCAAATAATTCTTAAAAGAGCTTGCGAATGAAGTATAGGTAAAAAAGCTCCTCAACTAAAAATAGACTGATCATTTCAAGCAATAAAATTAATTTAATGACAATTCGAAGAATTGTAAATACGAACGCGTTAACTGTATAATAATTATGTAATTAAAAGTATCGATGTTGAGTGCCTAGATGCAAGTAAATCATGTCAAAAGAAAAAAGTCTTCAGTTTTCTAAAACGCGAACGAGTTTACAAAATAATGAAGATTGTTGCCGCTCATGCGAGCCCAAATGATAATAATTAAGTGATCAAACTTTAGCTAATCAAAATAAAAATAATAAACTATAACGTTAAGAAAATTCTATTATTCATAGTTCAACTGTTGAAGAGAGCGTCTTCTTGTAAATACGCGATTTAAAGTATTTTCAATCAATTAAATGCCAATAGTACGAATATTTTTAATTTTACATACAAAGTTTTAATCCAGTCATCAAAAACTCGTATGAGTATTACTAAGTCATTTAAAACAAAAGTTTATTGCATAAAAATAAAACCAAATTTGTATAATGAAATAGGTTTTGAAAACATCCTACTGGTGTCCTCCCACACAAATTACAATAAATCACTTTTTGTGCAGTGATTTTAACATAATCTTTTGGGAAATGCTTTACTATTCCTCTGTTCTACATTTATTATTAGTTTGTTTATTTACAAAAGTATAGACATATCATGTATTTGACACTTTACCTTTAAAAATTTCAAAATATTAAAAAATTGATGATCGCAACTTGTACAAGATAAATTAAAAATATAACGATTTCTAAATACGTCTTTTCTGCCTGCAATGTGATCTATTATGAAAAAAAAAATGTTTAAAATGCCACATAACCTACTTTGAACTACACAACATGTCTAAATAAGAGTTAAAGAAAAAGAATTGTAAAACAAAATATATGGTAGGGTAAAAGCGGGTTCAATCGGGTAGCTAGCGAGCGACAATTCAAAAATGAATATATACAATGTTCTTGTCACGATGGAATAAAGGAAAAATTAAACATGCTGAAAGATTTTTCGAGCCGCAAATGTATACATGATGGTATATAATTAATGAATGTGATAGTTAGTTCTATGATAAAAACATCATTAGAAGAAAATGCTTTATCGAACGTTGTAAACGATTTAGCGAAAAAATTATGTATATCTAAAAAGAAATCTTATAAAAATACCAAAGTATAAACATGTACATAGTCAAAGACATTTATTTTAATTCTATGCGCCTTAAAACACGAGCTCGTTGTAACAATTATTAATCATTGAAAACTTTCCAGCTCCTTGTTTTTGCATTGTTGAAGTTAAATGCCTTTCTGTCAGACTGCGATTTTATCTTGTATCAAATAAAGTTCATCGTCTTTCGCAAATCTTTGTTTTTATTTCCTCTCATAAGCGGAACAATAATTTCAACAAACTTGAAAGAACAAAAGGGCCCTGAGGCGTTATGGACACGTGCAAATCATTGTAATAAGCCACTTTACTTTTATTTCAATTATTAGTGTCAGCTTCTTTTTACTATGAGATTATTTTCTGAAGAAAACGTTATTTAGTAATTTTCATTTTGGATTCAATTACATTTACAAAAATATTATCGAGATGATCTTTGTTATGTTGGCTTAAATTCAGTTATTATTGTTTTAGCGTGCTTCACACAATCATAATATTTTTATATATATGTAAATCAGAAATGTATATTATTTTGAATCAGAGAATCAATAAATAAATGAATAACCGATTATAAGCGATTAAAATATAAATATTACATTAAAAAATGTTATTATTTGTTATGAAAGTTTACTTACTAATATGATTATCTAAATATTTACTAATATTTTGATAAGTGATATCTAAATATCACGATTGTTTGGGCATAATTACCTTGCATTTCATAAATACTGCCGATAGAATTATAGATGCACCGGTGTCGGAATGGAGAGAAAAGAAAATGTTATGTGTACTTCTCGTCAGCGTCGCGCACATCGGGGGTAAGACGCAGAATGGGAAACCAACGAAGTATGAGACCATGTAGGACCCAGCTGTGAGAAACGTGGCGGATCGATTACCTACGCTAAGATGCCTGTATCTAACGAAACACATGCCGAGTGCATGCCATTGTTACCGTACCCAAGATAAGTACACTGCGAAACCCGATCGTAGAATAGGAAGATGCCGGGGTAGTCCTCAGACACGCGCGGACTAATCAGGCCATAAAAAGGCACGAGCATGTGCAGTGCCCTAATCACCAATATGTGCGCCGACGCAACAACCCACAATAAACAAGTGTGCATTTCGTTCTTGCGGGTCATCTACGAGCTCCACAATGCCGCTTGGGGCAAGCAAAGGCCGTCCAGAGATATGGGGATCAGGGGGCAAGCGCGAAAACGAAAGACCCAATACGGTGGCGCCCTCGTCGCTGGCGGGAAGTGAGAGAGGGGGGATTCCCGGGGGATTCAATGAAGTCTCAGGTTAGACGAGCAAGGGCTGCGCCGTCAGATATTTTCGAGAGCTTCGACGAGCGAGTTGTATATCCGTCGAACCGTCGATCCGTCGAATGGCTCATACCTAATTTTATAGAATTTCTTGGGATGATGGAAAGATTCTATATTCTATAACATTCGCACATTATGCACAATTTGAGTCGTCTAACAGCTGACAATGATATAGTTAAAATATATGTTTATGGCAAACTCAAAGTTGAGTAACTCACCCGATTCACAAATTATGTTTGATCTGGAGGATATATGTTGTCCTTCCTTACATGTACCTAGATTCAGAAAACCAATAGTCTGTTCATATCATTGATCTGAGTAGGTAGAAAATTGTGCGTTGCAGAATGTAATGGCACTTAAAAAATAGTTAAGAGAGTCTGTTCGTCTCTCATTTATGCACTCAAATAGTGATGATGAACTAATTTCTGATAAAATTTCTGATGATGAATCTTCCAGCAATCATGCTTATTATACGTCAAAAAGCACTTCGCTAACTTTAACAACCGACAGAGATGATGACATGTATATAGACATTATGGACAGACACATAAACAGTTACTATTAAACGTTTATCCTAATCTTTTAATACAGATTGCAATATTACAAAATTTTTGTCAATCTTACACGTTCAAATATCAGATTATCAGAATAATTCCAAAACATAATCTCTAGCTTTTATCAAACGATTTACTCGCTGCTAGTTTTATAAAATGGGTGTAAAAATGATAACAATGCAGCATACTTTTTTTAATTTTCATTATCTTCAAAATTATCCGTATCAATTATGATAAAATGGATTTTTATAACTAAAATCACATCGATATACATATTTGCTGCCATAACAGTATATCACGTGACTTATCTCAGCCAATTAGATCACGAATTAAATGCTTCAATAAAGGCATTCGTCACTTTTTTATGAGGGGAATATTGAGATTGAGCAACGTATTAAGATATAGAACGAACTAGAATACAATAAATTTATTTGTTTATAAAAATACAAGTAAAAAAGTCAAAAATATAAATAAATTAGGCACTGCCTGACTAATATTTATACATAAAAAGAAATCATGAGTCATGACTCGCAACAATTTGGCGACGACGCACAGGTCTTTTAGGAGGCTTCAGCGATTCGTCCATGGAAAGATTTGTAGATTTTATATTTGATCTACCTCGACGTCTTTTTAAAGAGCCATCTGGCATTGCGACGATTTTACAATCTACAGACAAATCATTTTCTTGTAAATTTTCAACCGACAGATTCAAAGTTAATTGATCAATACCCTGCATACTCGTTTGACTTTGATTGTAACGAGATGGCCGATTTCTTTTTCTAACCGGTCGACAAACTGCAGTTTCATTCATAGATTTACAATGTTCATCATCTATTAGCACATTGTTTTCTTTTTCAGTCTTTGTGTTTTCACCAATTTTCTGTTCATTAATGTTTTCTACATCTATTGTAGCTTTAAAAGTAAATTTCAAAATTATTTCAGAAACTAATATATTGTAGTATAATAATATTACAATATACTTATATTATAGAAAATATAGAAAATCACTTCCTTACGTACTTGTATTTACAAGCTTTGCACTTAAATCATCCATCTTATCATTGTGCCAATCATCAGTTGTGTTATTTGAAAAATCACTTAGTGCAACACGGTTATTTGTTTTCTTAGCTTTGGCTTTTCTATTTCTAGAAGAAACTCTGCCAATGTTCTTTAATGAATTTTCTTTTATCTGCTCAGTTTCAATTACTTTCACTTTGCTTTTTTCTGTTAAAATAATGAATAAAATTAGTAATATAATATTAGTGAGTTAGATCCCTGAATATTTTAAGCTATCATCACATACGCTTGTTTGAAAATTCACTAAAACTTTCATCACTCATTTCTTCAAATGAAAAGTTAATGTTAGAATTGCATAGATCTCTAACTGAAGCGTCGCGTGTACTTTTTTCTGACGAGTCATTTATTTCTGATTCAATATTATCTGACTTTGCAGATGATAATTGTTTTGGACATATAAGAGACAGTCTAACTTTTTTTCGATTCAATTTTTGATTTCTTACTGGACTATTTTGAATTTCATCATCTGTAGATACATCAGTCGACGCTTCATAAATATCTTCAGTCATATTTGTTGGTTTCATATGACTATTTATGTGGCAAAGATTTTCGTGAGATAATTTTATAGGGTTTCCAGATGTACTTGCGATAGGATTAGCATTATACATACTAGAAAGGAGAAAGGGCATTGGGTCGTCACTTTTGTAATGTTGTAAAGGACACGATTCATCTGAATCCGAAGCATTGAATGGAATTTCACCTGATGGATTAAAAGAACCACTTTCTATGGCTACTGAACCATTTTCATTTTTATTTATTTCACTGATCGAAACGGAATTACTGTTGATTACAGTTGCATCATTATCACTTTTATTGGCTTCTTCTAATTTTCTGCGATGTTTCACTTCTTCTATAAGTTTATCAAAGCTCATTTTATTTGCTAACCCTAAAATGAAAAAGGAATAAAAGAAAATTAAATAATATAAATTGCTTAGAAGTTATAAAAAAATCAAAAATATGTACTATAAGTTTTTTGTACATCTTCAATTTTTTCTTCTCTCAAATTTTTTGCAAATTGTAGTCTCTGAAAACAAATGTAATTTCTCACCATCTATTATTCCATTAAGATAGTCATAATGATTTTTTAGTCTTACAATAGCAGCAATGGAATTAGAAGTCGATGTTGAAGTAGATGATACTAAGAAGTGATCTAACTTGCGTTCTTGTTTTTCTTCCATCTCACATTGTCGAATGAGATCACTAACAGGTCTCGGTTCTAGTTTGTCACATTCAGCATTGTAAATAGTTGAGTATCTTGTAAACCGACTTTCTAATGCTTTTCTGTCACCATTTGTTGGTAATCCAAACTCTTTCATTTTTTTGCGCAGTTCTGCATCTTTCATTACACGAAGAACAAGTTTTGGTAATGGTTGACGCTTATGTTTTCTACGATTCATTATAAATTATATTATAAAATAAATTTACTTTAAAAATAATTTCTAATTGGTTAAATAATTCGTGTTGGTGTTGATAAATTATTTTAATTGATTTAAATTTTTAATTTTCTTTAAGACTAAAAACTCAGACTTACTCCTTTGTTTTGGCAGCTTTTTGATTAACCTCCCTTTCGAGACAGGCATCCAAGTGTACATTTACACGATTTTCAGAAATATCTACACTACAGACAGGGCATAATACAGATTTTATAACTACAGAATCAGGCTGTGCAACTGTTTCTTTTCTTTTTGGAGTATTGAAAATTTTTGCAATACTTGGTAAGAAGTTTAGAGAATTACGTATTTTTGGACTAGAAGCATTATTTATCAAAGTATTATTCGTAGATGAAAAACAAGACATTTTAGGTTCGTTCTCCTTAATTTCTTGGATTTTTGGAGATTTTGGTGATTGGTTGCTGCGGAATGGCCTGACAGGAGGTGTCATTGATCTTTCCTCTTTATTATCTTGTTCTTGGACTATAGTATTATAAACTACTCTATTTTCAATAAGACTTATCAACTTTTCCCTGACTTTAATATAATGCTGTATAAGAACGTCCATTTCACGATTTATGTAGAGGTCTTTTTCAAAAAAAACATTAAAACAAGCTGGACATTGCGATTTGTAATGTAAATACTTTCGTATACATAATGAACAGTCTGAAAAAAAATTTATAATTGTATAAGTGCTAAAAGTTATTAATGAAATAGTTTGTACACAATTATTTGTTGTTATATACAATTGCTAACTTACAGTTATGCGAGCATGGTGTCATTACTGTAGTTTCCATATATTCATAACAAATTCCACAGATCATAGATTGTTCAATTCTCTATATAACAGTGTTTCGTGTAAAAAAATTTATTTAGACATAAATATTTGAATAATTGATAACAAATGTAATGATCTTTTATACCACAGTGAAAAATTCAATTTGAAGTATAAACTATACATTTATATAAGGTCAAAGAGAGAATAACTTTACAAACCTTAAGTTCAATAAATTCTTCTGGCCATGTTATTTCTCGTATTTTAGACATATTTAATGTAGTCTTGTTGAAGGTTAGCTTTAACTAGAATTACTTTTAACCGAATTAAACTGAATGAAACATTTTATATCTCACGAGATTATTAAGTTAACGTAATTTTCAGTACATAAATAAACAACCTACAATAATTGTTTTAATTTATTAACAACTAAAATCGGATACCTTAATAATACATTTTCATTTCTACAAACACAACAAAAGAAACTTGTAGCAAAACCACCCGCCCTTTATCTAATTCTAAAGGAATACAAGCACTACAAGCAGATAAAAGAGTACCAAACAATGTGGCGTCCTCATGGTTTGCACACCTGCAATCAGATGGCGTTGACATGCCTGGAAAAGCAGGGGGCCTATTCTGAAAAAAAATTTTAGCCAGAATAAACTTATAAATCCGTATAATCAACAAATATGCGTCTATATTCGTTGGCATAACTATGATCAGAAAATTAAAAAGAAATATACCCCAAAATTCCGCATTCCTTAATTCACGAGTAATTGTTAAAAAACTAATTTTTACTGGACGATTTTCAACAATTTTTTTCTCGCAATCGGCAATTTCTTTTTTTAATTTAAGGGCATTGTTATGTCTAGACGTGATGGTGTTATGGCTAGACATGATGGTGTCTAAAATACTGTCTCGTAGGTAAAGGTTGGATCTTAGTCGGGAGGTAAACAGAGGTTGGTTAAAGGGAATCTTTTAGTTGAGCGTGTAGGTAGATAACTAAGTTTCTTACCTTGCGTGGACCAAACTTAAAGAAGATTTTATGAAAGAGTCTCAGGTGTTTGCACTTGATTAGAATCTATTATTTGAAAAGACAATTTTATAATACTTAGCAAAGTACAATTCCCATCCTGAGTGATCGGGTAGCGAAGCTTCAAAATAATACAATAATGGTACTATACTACTGAATTACTGAACTACTATGTACTGCCTGTTTGCGAATCCTGATCCAGCCTTTTTATACCATAGGTTAACTTACCCCTCCCTTTCTTTTTACTAAATTAATATGCGGTGCGTAATATTCGCGGAATAATATGGAGAATATGCTTAGCCCAGAGATTAATTTCTGCTTAGCAAAATCCATTTCACTAGATAGATTTACAAATTTTCCCGGGAAGGTTGACAACTGGTATGATAGGAAGTTAAATTACCGATACATGATCAGTTATCATAGCCCGTCACGTGCGTTCTTTTTAGTATCGACGTGACAGCATCAAATGATCACACCTATTTGAATTATCTAATAAAAATTTCATATAAAACAACAATTGTTTCGGAATAAAACTAAAATACCTATGTCAAATACCTATATAAAATACTTAAGTTAGCGAGAAATAATATACTAAACTACTTATGTAAAATACTGAAGTTAACTAAAAAAAAATTGTTGAAAAGCATCCAGTAAAAATAAGTTTTTCAACAATTACTCGTTAACAAACGGACACGGAATTTTTTAAAAACGGATTCGTGAGGAGCATGTCACACGGTATATTTCTTTATAATTTTCCAATTAAAAATGTGCTGGGGTTACGAAGGCAAACGGAGGTGCATATCGATGCAAGCATTCAAAAATTTCATCTCTCTACAGATTCGCAAATGTTATAATATAACAAAAATATATTAATATAAGTACAATTTATTTTGAAATTATTATTCCATTGATGTAAATAAATCACAAATAATTAAATACGAAGTTAAATTTCTAACCAAACAACTATTCATATAATAAATTTTTGTTATAAAATGAGTGATATCCGTATTATCGACGGCGAATAGCGTTTGTAACGTATATTACGGCTCACCATAATAAGGTGGCACGCGGAACAAGAATTCTGATATTTACACAAGAACGAGGCAGAGGTACATATATATGTACATATATATACAACATTTTGCTTGCCTTCCTCTATAGTAGTATAGTGTATATAATCTTGGTCACACGAATGAAGTACACGTGCAGGGTTGGGCAATTCTGGAAGAGATCTTCAAAAAGCTTCCTGCAGTTAACTTTAGACCTCACAATTTTCACTTCCGTATAAGATCTATTCAACTCAAACTCTCTGAAGTTACCTGCAGGAAATAAGGATCTCTTCCAGGGGTGCTTTCGATATAAATGTATCCGGTTGCGCAGAGGCTCTATACTGCAACTGCGCAACCGGACTTCTGCATTTCAATAAGATCCTAAAATTGCTTAACCCTGTGTTCGTGGAATCGTGGATTAAACTGTCAAGTTTACTGTCACAGAGACGCAACGTCTATCATACTATAAGTCATAATAAGTCTTCTTTTGTATAATTAAGATTAGGATATGACTGAAAAATATAATTTAGAAAATAATTTAGAAAAGTTAACAATGGAGGAACATGTTAACCCCAGGTAATTGTTTGTTATGATTAGAAATGGAAAGAATTTAAGTTATAGTATTTTGTTATTTTTCATTATTTCTTTTGATTAATTAGTAATAAAGTACATTTAAATAAAAATTATAGGGATGTCAATAATAAAAGAAAAACTTACTTGGATTGGGATGAATATTTTATGGCAACAGCTTTTCTGGCTGCAATGCGAAGTAAAGATCCAGTTACCCAAGTCGGTGCTTGTATTATTGATGAAGATAAAAAAATTGTTGCAATTGGCTATAATGGAATGCCAACTGGTTGTTGTGACGATGATTTCCCATGGAACAAAGAAGACAAAGATGAATATAACACTAAGTTTCTTTATGGTAAACAAGTAAACACATTCTGTTTATTGTATATTTTTCACTATCTATATTAAAGTTATGAATTTAAGAGATCCTTTTATAACATTTTAGTATGTCATGCTGAGGTCAATGCTATTCTAAATAAAAATTGTACTAATGTGAAAAACTGCAGTCTTTACGTAGGACTGTTTCCATGTAATGAGTGTGCAAAAGTGATAATTCAATCTGGTATCAAGAAAGTTTTCTATATGTCAGATAAACATAGTTATAAAAAATCAACCATAGCTGCCAAGAGAATGTTTGATGCTGCTAAAGTTGAATACAGGTTAAAAAATGTTATGTTATAACAATATATTTATTGGTGTAAAAATATTACATTTTACTTTGGAATAAAAATTTTATATTTCAGCCAATACAAACCTAAAAATAAGAAGATTGTAATTGACTTTTCTGAAATTAACTGGAATGACATGACTCAGGTGCCTCCAAGTCCAAAATAATACGCAAGTATTCAGCTAGGGTGACTGAAAAATGTTTTTTTTTATTTACTTGAAATATTCTATCAGGTTTAGAAAAAACAAATTGGTATTCATAATTAAGTGTTTTTTTATACTTAATATGTTATTTATTTATGTTAAATAATATATTTATAAAAGATTTCGCTTAACCATGTATAAAGTATTTATCACTCAATATTAATCAATATGATCAAGGATTGATCACGTTTTATTATTAACTTGATTGCTATAACTGCGAACTATTGTAAAAAATATATTTGAAGTCAATCGCGAAAAAAGTCCTAGCGTGCAGGCAATGTATAAATACGATATTAATGTAACAAAGTTGTAGGTTTTATCTCAACGCTCAGCGTACTCGCTGTAGCCCTGTCACAATTTTTATTTTTTATTTAACACACTATTAGTAAACTACAGAATAGGGTGAGAAACGGATACTGTGCGCTCGCATGTGTACGCGCAAAATAAGTGCGTTTTGAAGGACAACAGTAACAATATTTAATTAAACAATAAAAAAAACTCACTCGTTTTTTATTCCGATTTACTTTTTATTTATCGGATCAAATTGGGCAAATTCATCATTGACCCGCCGCTCTGGCCATGGTTTTCGTTGTTCGTGGTGTAGCACAAGAAAGTGTAGGCGCCGGTCGCCGTCATCCTCCCTTGGGTGAGCCGATATGTTTGCTCGCGGTGTCGATTCCACGGGGTCCATTTTGTTATCTTCATCCTTGTCGTCCGTATGAGAATAGTCCGCGGTATAATTGGACCAGTCTCATACGGTATATGGGAAGACTTTTAACACCACAGCAAGGTAATCGTCTTCTCTGAGATATTCTATGATGACTTCTCTTTGCTGCGCTAATGTACTAATAATCTATTTCTAAGTCTTTTTGCATAGTTTCTATACCGGGTTTATATAATGCGGCAGCGGCTAACAATTCGGTACTTTTATTGTTTCAGTCCTTCATCCGGATTGATTAAAGAAATAGTTTCATCTATTTCAACATTACTCCGTTGTCTAGTATGAATTAATGAAATGCATACAATGTGTCTAATTGTTAAACGATAAGCTCTACATGTCGGATTTAGATTAAATCCATTTCTTCCTCGAATCTTTAAATGAGTATGATCAACGTTATCTTGATTACAGAGGCCAGCTGCTAACTCAAAAGATGCACATTCGGTTTTTACATTTACAATTTTAAATTTTAAATTTTCAAATTTACAATCTACTGATTGCCTCCATGTTTCAGATCTCAATCCATTTTCAATGCCTTGCTCGTCAGCTTTACCAGCAGATTTTATTGCAGCTGCTACTCTTTTACTTAAAAGTTGAAGAGCTAAACTTACTTTCATGCATTCAAAGGTACTAGGATTAAAGTGCTTGTCTTTCAAAAATGCTAATAAATTTGACGATTCGTTCGTTTTATCGATTTCGTACATTCTTATATATCATAATGATATTATTATTAATATAAATATATCTATGGACTCTTAGTTGAAAAAGTAATCGCTTTATGAGATGAGGCCAATTAATCTTCCTTCATGATAAAAAAAGGCTTATCTACAGTTACTTTTAAATTTTTATAAAATAATTTTTCATTATTTGAACCTTGGTCGCACGCAATAATTTTGACTAAAGCTCCTATTCTGAATAAAGCAGTTAATATTTTACGTAAAATTTCTAATAAATCATTAGCACTAGCCCCACTTGAATTAAATCCGAATAAAAGTATTTGGTGCCAAGGATTAACAGCATTAATACTATCTAAACAAGATAACAAAGCATATCTAGCTACTTTTGAACTTCTAATATTATCCCCCATATCTTCAAGACCCTCAGTCTGATCGTATTTTTTAGAACATTCCTCCATGCTTTTGATACTCATCTCATCAAACTTTAACACACAAAAACGCCGCTCTACAGGTAATTTGCTCAAATTATCTTGTATTTTTTCTAAAAGATTGTTATTTGGCTTGACCTTTTGAATTCTCTCTGATAAGGCTCTAGTTTTTTAAGCCGCAGAGAGTTTTAAGGCAGTATCAAATGCGCTTTCAATGTTTTCAAATGAAAACTCACTAGGAATGCTTCCTGTAGCATATCTAGCTATTATAATAATCTTGGACATGTCCGGCGTCTTTCCTCTAATTTTAATTCTTCTTTCTCTAATCCTCTCACCGCCGCAAAGTACAGTTATTATTTATTATGTAGTAATAAAATATAAAAAAAAAAATATATAAATAGAGCGACGATAAATAAATAAAAAAAAAAAAAAAAAAAAAAAAAAAATATAAAAATAGAGCGATACTTGTTATCTCACACGCTATGTTGTACAAATTCGTGGACTAATTTCTTATAATAAAACTTCGCCAAAAAACAGAGAATTTATTAAAATTAATGTATATTTTTTTCATTTTCTTCTATTTTCTGCTTAAACTAAGCTCCGGAGTGTAAACTTGATAACTATCTGTTCTGTATGAGAATTAGCTACATTTGATTTTTCATTCTTCGAAAGCTCATGTTGATATTTGTGGTTCTCTTCGATGGGTTAATTTGATTTTTCATTCTTCGAAGGCTCATGTTGAATTTCTTGTGGTTCTCTTCGATGGGCTATATTTGATATTTCATCCATCGAAGGCTCGAGTTGAATTACTTGTGTTATCTTTTTTTTTGAACAATTATTATAAGTTGAATATTGAGGATCTACTAAATTAGTTCTATCTTCAAGTGGGACTCTAAAATGACATTTCTTTTGATAAGTCATGTGATCCTTATAAATAAGTGAACCTGTATGTTTGGAAGTAGATGGCATACTAGGGTCAATAAATCTAAGTTCACTTGAACTGTCCTTCTGTTTAGTAGTGATTCCACTACTTATTTTGTTAAAAGTGTTTCTTTTATTATTGATTGACTGCTCAATATAGCCATAAGCTACCGTACTGGATTTCCATCCACCATGTCTTTGCAGTTCAACCATAGCTGCACCAGCATCAGTTAATACTGTTGCAGATGTTCTGCGAAAACTATGACCAGTGTACGAGCGTGGTTCAGGTAAACCAAGATATTTAGCAATATTCATAGGCATACTACCAAAAGTATTTATACCAATACATTGATTCACACAATGTCCGTTTATAAACCTTAAAAAAAATCTATCTGTAGTGCAAGTCACTGGTCTTAGAGTCATATATTTTTCGCAAATGTCATATAGAGCACCAGAGATGATAAAAGACCTTGGTTTATTATTTTTTGTCTTCAAAATCTTTATCAGAAGTTCATCTTCAATCTTTACTACATCATTAACCTTCAAATCTGTAAATTCACATCTTCTCAGGCACCCAGATATACCAAAAATTAGTGAAACCTATAATTATTATAAAAATCAATATCTAATCAAAATCAATCGTATTTTATCTTATAAATAGTCAAATCATAATTAATTTTTCATGTAAATGAACTTCGTCAGGTACTTCAATTAAAAATTTTGAAATGTCGGAAGTAGTAAAAACAGCGGATTTCTTTTATATATAACCCTTGCTCATTTTTTTAAGGTACGAAAATAGTCTACTGTAATTAGCGATATCAATATGATCAAAACAATCAATTGTAGTTCTCAGCATTGAATATGTTGACCAAAGACTGCTAGGAGCATATTTTTTTGATAGATCAGAAAAATAAGCCAAAAGTACGTCCTGACAGAAAGAATTTGTATGCTGTTCTCTACGCCACTTCTTAAAAGCGTTATAACTAATAGTATATAATCTTTTTGATTTGTCAGGTAATGCCTCTAAAGAGACTTTATTAGCCTTTTGCCTTATAGCTTTAGGAACAATTTCATTATCATTACTATCGCTACTAGATGATTCTACTTCCATTTCTTCAGGTATCAAGTCGATTGAATCGTTTGAATTCATTTTTATTAATAATTGTTCTAATAACAACCACCCTTTCGTATATAAATTGAGAATATGGCGGATTTATGTCACACGATGCTATAAAAAAGTATACGATACGCGTGACTTAAGTGGCGCTATTGCACGGCGAGTTTAGCTAACTACTCGCCGTGTAATAATGCGCCACTTAAGTCACATGTATCGTAATATACTATTGTCTACGTTCTATTCGTGATTAAAATTTGTCATGCCAGCTATGTCCCAAAATTTACCATTCTTTATTATCATTAGTTATACGTTTTTATGTACATTTTCTTTATGTAAAATATGTAACTTCGTATTTATTTTGAATTTTTTTTAATTTATTGATTTCATATGCAGCAGTAAAACTTTTTACACATTAGCCCTTACTCATACAATATACCTTCTTATAATTGTGTACATTTTTTACAATATTTGCACTGACTTACACTCAAAGTCTATCCGTCTTATAAATATTGCTCATATATAATTTGCTCAGCTAGTTTCTACGTAATTCAGAACTTGGAAGTGTTTTGTGCAATAAATTAAATAATTGAATCTTTCTTTATCTTCGTCTGCCAAATAGGTTGGTGTGCGAACGAAAGATAAAGTGATAGTCCAATATGTGGAGACGACTGTTAGATTAGGGAATAATATAATTATTATATAATCAATAATATAATTATTGATTGAGACTTCTATCCACGGTAACTGCATTAGACGGTACCTTTAGACAGAGTCAGGCACAGGGTAGGAAAGTAACCAACCGTCGCCAACTCCTAGGACTTGCATTAGTGATAGTTATTCGAAAGAGGGTTATCTTTATTTTTTTACGATCTTCGTTCTTGTTTTTCATTCGTTTGAATGCATCATTCACCCTATATCAACAAGTTAAGTAATACATTAACTACTTTTTTCGAAATGGCAGTCATACACTACGGGATGGACTGTCACAATTTATATCTCGAAGATTTTTATATTTTTGTTTAATTTAAAAGTGTTGAATTGAAAACTTTAATTGAAAATTAAAACTTAAATCATCTACTCTGGCAGTGTAAGTTACACAACTAACAAAGAATTAAACAATGTAAAGCGATGAAATTAGCAAAGATATAATTCTTAATCAATGTTGAATTATTGTTAACTAATCCGATAAGCGAATCATATCAACACATTGTAATCCTGCTCAAAAATTGTAACCTTAGAATCTCGACATTACTTTTTGTATCACGAATAATTGAAATACTTTGTTATTAATCAATGTAAATATATATGTATAGATCAAAATGTAAACTGTGTCAGAGATGAACCAATATATTTCAACTGTTTAATAAAAAATAAAGCTGTAACATTTTTTTCCTCATTCGACATTATCTAAGAAATGAATTTATTACATATTCAACGACAAAGGCCCTGATAAATATTCTAACTACTGTAAAATATAAGAAAAATTTATTTTATCAAACATTTATTGTAAAATTACTCAGACTTATTATTCATTTATACTGTACAAAGATGCAAGTAATAATGCGGAATATAGAGCCACATGAAAGATAAATAAAAGATGAACTGACTTTGCAGGTTGAATTCGTATATAATATATATTTCTAATGGATAAAAGTGCTTATATTGAACACAAAATTGAATGTCGTTAATTTTGTCCGTCACAAAACAACAATTTCATTGTACTTTGTGAAATGTTATAGTGTTTGCTAATATAAACAGCATCCATCACTGTTATGAGGTCATGGGAATATCATGCTCGAATAAAGACATCGTTAATCTCACAATTTTATTAAAATTTCGCATGTATTTGATTTACAGATACTCGTAACTTCCGTTTACGAAGATTGGATTTGGTTCGATACGTATTAACCATACGCAAGCAGTACCGTATTAGATTTTAGAATTAAATGTAAATATGGCTTCGTAGCGTGAATTCAAACAGGCAGAAGAATATTAAATATTGTTTCTAAAAATCAGACTTATTTATTTATTTTTCTTTTAATTTTGTAGCAAGTCTCATCAACTATTTTTGAAAGACATGCGCGGGAACTTTGCTCTGAATTGGCGTCGTAAGTAAATAACTTTGTGATAAATATTCAATTTGTACATGATTGGGTCACACATTCAGTTTATTGAAATCAAATAGAAAAAAATGTAATTTCATCTATACATTTCTTGTTCAAATAATTGTATGAAAATCAAAAATAAAAATGATTATTTATACAATTTCAAAATAATTTTCAATATATAATGGATCTTCTTCCGATGAAAGACATTCGAAAATTTATTAAGAATCGAAAAACAATTTTGCTGCAAAATATTCTATAAATTCTAGACGTGAGTTTTTACAGTATTCATCGATAAAGCATTCAGCAGGACATTAGTAAATTAGACATTCCTTCCCTCATAACAATACTCTCAAAGCATCAAACAATTTTTCACAATTAATATCATACGCATACTTATAAATTAATTAATTGAAATTGACAGTTGAAAAGATGAGATTGGTATTATTATGTTTTTGCAATGAAAATGAAGAGGCTGTATGATTACAAATCTGTAGTCGTTTTGTAATCAATAATAAAGATATAACATGTTATGCATTCCATTAGTTATATTCACAACGTAGCTATTAGTTTGGGAGTTGCCCTTCTGCCACGTTTACTGTTTTTCAGTACAAAGTCCATTTAAAGTGCGAGCCACGATTCAGTCTCTCGCGATGATGAAGAAACTAAATCCTGCCTAGCATTGCTATATATAATTATTTTTTTAATTCAATCATTTTCTGACATATGTATGTATGTATATATATATATATATATATATATATATGTGTATATGCATGAATATATATACATACATACATACATATATATAATAATGGTTTATCGCTTTGAAAACCTTAGCTAAACATCGAGGCGCCTCGTCCCTCGCGCACTTGCACGCATCCGTTAAAACTCGTCTAAGCCGTACCGAATAATAACAAATTCGGCATATGGCTGTCATCAATTTCTTAAGAAATAACTGAGCGCGCACACGCGTTGGCGCTCCGTAAGTCTTCTGAACTGTTGGCGCGCTGTTGCTCTGTTCTTTATCCCTCATTTGTCAGCTTGTTTATCGATATCACTAGTCACGAAGCAATTCGTTTGTATTAATATTATATTATATTACATGTAGCCGCGAGAGCGAAAGAGAGAGAGAGAGAGAGAGAGAGAGAGGGGGGGGCGGCAAAGTATATAATCTACTGATTGACATGCGCCGAAGTGACACGCGCATTCCATTAGACATGTACTTTCATGTAAATCGCTTGAACAACTTCTGTCTGTCACACACCACCGTCACCATGCCTCACTAATCTAGATCAGTAATATCTTAAATATCTATCTATTATCTTTGATTAGTCCATCTGCGGAAATATTAATCGTTAACGGTTTGTATACTGGTATCGTGTAAGTGTTTCAGTATATATATAAGTGGACGTGGGTGTTGCTACGTGTGTATATTTGTATGTGGGTATGTGTAGGTACAATGCAACTCGTTAGATCGTTTGATAAGGTTTGACGAATTGGCTATCAGAGCAGCGGGGAGCATGGCGAGCGCAGTGTCAGAGTGGTGGGTGTCTCGCTTAGCTGCAACGCACACCGCTGACGAGGCAGTAGCTGGCGCAGGAGTCGGCCGGCCAGGATCAGTTGGCGTTGGCGGGTGGCTGGTCCTTGGCCGCCGCCTGGTCCTGGTGGTTGGTGAGCAACTGGTGCTTGGCCTCGGCCGAGCGGAAGGCCGTTGCGTAAGGGAAGCGCTCGTGGCACTTGACCGTGTAGTCGGCGAGCTGCTGCTCGCACAGCCCGAAGTCGCCGTTGCGCAGTGCCTCCAGCACCCGCGTGCAGTTCTCTAGGCTGACGCCCTCGAAGCCATCGAGACTAGTCGCCAGGCCGATGGCCTTCTGCTGGGACTGCGGCTCAAGCAGATAGAGCATTCGCGCGGCTTGCAGCAGGTGCGGCAGCGAGTTGGCGTGCTGCTTCAGGTAGTCGGCGTTCAGCTGGGCAGCGTTCTTGCCCGCGAATATGTCACTGGATTGGCGCTTCACCACCTCGCCGACTATGCTGTCGAGACTTGATTCAGCTGTGTGACGCAGGAAGCGGATTAGACAGCTGTGCAGCTCGGGATTGCTTGGCTCCAATCTGTGTGCGCGGTTGATCGATCGCAGCATCAGTAAGGTTCGACCTGGCAAACATCAACGTTCAACGCGTTAGCCGTCGTCATCGACAATTTTCCAAATGCCCTCTGATCATCTTTACCTTTACGAATGTAGATTTCAAAAGCCATCAGATGAGTTTCGATTCGATTGGCAGCCAAATCTTGCAGTGGAAGGAGAAACTTTATCGCCTGCTCTAGTGGATCGTCAGCCTGTCAATATGTTTATACAGTGGTATTAGTACACGGTAAGACAATTTTTTGTTGTCGAAAATTAATATACATAGCTATTTTAGTAGAGGTAAAAACTAAAATGAAAGAAAATCTGCATACACACCCTCTCTAATTTTTCCGGTATAAGTTCGTCCAGCGTCGGCTGCTCTAGATCAGGATCGGCTTGCTGTCGCGACTTATTGTGCTGTTCCCTCTTCTCTTGAGCTTGAGCTGCCTGCTGTCTTTCCAGCTCAGCCTTCCTCTTCTGCTTTCTCTGCTTGTTTCTTAACTTTTTCAGCTCAGACGGCGCCAAGTTTTCTGCAAATATACGAGGACAGGTGAGAGGATGAGTAAATTTGTTCAGTGCTCTAAGCATATTTATTATTCTGATTCAGAGCTTTTTTCAAAGCTTATGAATGGGGATTTCGTGATTTTCGCAGAATGTAAAGAATTGATAAAATCGACAAGAAAAATTATTGTTATCTGCTAATAAAGGAATAATTTTTTTTCGATAAAATAGGTATTAAATTTTGGTTGCTAATTCCAAAATTTATTTCAGTTTTTCATGTCAAGATCGCGCAAGATTTCATTGAGTAATGCCATATTTACTTCTATAAAGTACGCACTGTACTGTCTTTATTTTTCAAAGATTAACTTGTGTTTCAAACAAATAGAAGCGCTAATACCAATATACAAAATTCATCTAATAACAGTAATTTATAATATTTTCAAAGTCAAAAAAAAACTTTAATTATTGTACATGTAAGGTAAAATTATATAGATTTTTTTGCGTAGTTTCTTCACCAATTTAAAACTAATATATTTCAATATGAACAATTGTGCCGTTCAACCTTACGAATGCATTCGATAATAAATCGAATTCGGCTTAAAGTTGAAAAAAATCTCAAAATTATATGACCACTGCAAGTACAAACAAACTTTAAAGTATTATGAGTACTTGCTCAAAAAAAATAATAATAAGTAAAGCACAAAATATACTTTAGTAATTTGAAAAATGCTAGTTCAAGTGTAGCTACATTATTTAAAAAAAAAGAAATAAAAAGAATCGGTCAGGAGTGTGTGCATACCTATATACTTCGGGCGGTGAGAAAGCAATCGGTGATCTGGCACCACAATGATAAGCGCGCGCTCAAGCAAGTGAACTGCAGTAAGGGGAGAAAAAAAGGGCCGCGAGAAAAACAAATTGGAGCGCGGAAGGCTGCACGAATTTTAATCTACATCCTCACACAGCGCCAACGTCAATCGCGATCCCTTCACGAAAAAAACATTTTTTACAACGAAAAGTCTTTTCACGCGGACCAAAAGAAAAATAATAAAAAGAATATAAAGCGTGTATATGTGCCGGTGGACGTGCAACGAATAGCAGTCACCTACGCGCGCGCGCACTCACTGGTAATTAGTTCCGTTTTCGGGACCTGTTTTCAACGAGAGCTGCCGAGCTTTTTATGTTCGACTGTTCAAATTGATTTCATGCAATCGTTCACACCGTTACGAGATAGATATGCACTTTTGCTACCTGCTCGTTAATTTGTTATACTTGCATTCAAAAATCCAATATCGTTTTCCGAAAACGCAGGTATTTACAAAAAAACTTTACGATTAAAACTAAAATGAAAAACGAGTTTGCTAGTATGAAATAGAAATATATCATAACTCAGTGAGATATTTGTCAAGATTATACCGAACAAAGATAAGCTTATTAATTTACTAAAATAATATTCTCAACGCTTAATGAATTGCGTATTGCAATAAAGATCAATGACGATTCGTATGCACGCGTCATTGTAAGCTATGCTCGTTGGCATATTAATATCACGTACTTGTATCGTGTCAAAGAAAATAAACGGTATGCAGCCGCTTAGCCTATCCAAAAATTCGATCAGTCGTGATCCGATGAGATGAGTTTTCCGACACGATCAAGACAAAAAAGACAATAGCCAACAAAAAGAAAATATGTTGAAAGAAGCAAGCCTAAAAACGGCTTTTCCGTTAGTGAAATTTGTACGAATGGCCAAACAAAGCAAAGCAACAACAAAGTAAGTAGTAATGAAGTAAGGATTACGTAAGGAATCCACACACAGAAGTTCTCATACACATTTGTCAGATGGATAGTTGCGTGCATCGTTTATCTGTGGCAGGGCCGTATAATAGTTTTGCGAGTTTGCTTGTTAAATGGCAGTCGGCGGCGCGCATATAAGTAAGTACAATCATCTCGTGCCTTTAATTATCATGTCGTAAAGGCGGCTCCGTCTGTAACACGCATGCGGCGCAAGAGTTTTCAGAGGACTTTGACGGGGAAAAAGCCGAAAAACGTTGGCTGCGCGCAAGATAAAATCAATGAGAAAACGAGCTTTATATGAAATACGGAAGTCCATTTGCTGGAGGAGCTCGCGCGGGTGCGCTGACGGCGCAGTTGAAAACTAGATTAAATAGATTAGATTCCGAGATGAAAGTTCACGATCGGCACCGTATATGTGCAATGCTCAAGCGAGCAGCAGAGTCTAGCAGCAGCGGCATTGCTTAGTTAAATAATATAAAACAATACGAATAAGTCGTTACGTCGGGGCATTTATGAAATCCGCTGGGGTGTGTGTGTGTGTGTGTGTGTGTGTGTATTGATTCAGCGAGAGCGAAACAAAGTCCAAATCAACAATGGGCTCGCGATAAATTCGGCGAACCGATTGTGAATTGTTTCTCGGTTTTATATCGTAAGCAGCACGTAGTATAGCAAAAGCGACTCGCTCTCTCACGCTGTGGGCTATGTGTGTATAGACAAACAGAGGCGCTTGGCTTGAGCAAAGTTCACTTCGTCAAGCTGCGCGTTAATATGCACAACAATGCTGCTGTTGCTGCCGCTGCTGCTGCGGGCCACTGCCGGATCGAGCTTTTAATTATAGACACTGCATTAATTCAAAGCTATTAGAACATGGAAATGGCGCTCAACTACGTTGGCTTTCCAATTACGTAAGCCGGACACGAGCGTCGGCCGCGCGCGATATACGTTTGACTAGACGTTTTATTAGTCCGCCCGCTCATTTAATTCGCATTAGCGCAGAGGTGACCTATTGTATTTTGTATAAGTCCGCAGGTGCTAACGTCATATTTCTTTTCTCTCTCTCTCTCTTCATTATTGAAACGTGTCATAATTAATTCCTTATTCGATTTTTAAGGGTCATTAACATTTTGCATTGCCATGCGCGTTGATTGTGCAAACGCCTTCTATGAAATTCATTTGACGGTTTAGTAATCAAATCTACGTACAAAAACTTTCTTCCGTGGTTGGGAATCTAAATGATTGAGTTGTTGAACGTAAATGTCAAAATTGAATGATTATAAGTACACCCGATTATCGGGAATAATAAACCGATAGACTATTAAATAATCATTTCCAAGACATCAATAGGCTTACTTTGTTCCTGCAGTTCCTGTATTGAATAACAAGCAAATGATCTGTGCGATTTTATATAGCAAGGCAAGTATCGTAGAAAATCAAGCGATAATTGTAGTGCACGAAAAACTGGCTTTACATCATTCTATCATTCGCGTCAAAAAGTAGTTGGAGAGACGACTTCGTGCTCCGGGAATTTTGGTCAATTCGTACTCGAGCGGCTTCTCCAACTGCAATTTCTCACGAAAAAGATGTTGCTATTATCACGAGAATGCGATCTGTCGTCCAAAGTGGGTTTTTCAAATGGAAGCTTGATAAAATACGCGAATGCAGCAAATTCTGAGACACTAAGCATTTAAAAGCCATTTTTTATAGGCGTTTATCTCCAGTCCCGCTGGGAATACTCGGAGAGATTTATAAGGCGCCAATGATGCGGCCATTAATCTGGGACTGTCCGAAAGCGCCCGTTTCTTTTTCGCGCGCTCGGCGAAAGTAAGAAGACATATGGAAATTGAAGACGCGACCCGAAACAGCACAGACATCGCGCTCGCGCTATTCCTATTAACCCGCTTACGCATAATATATGCCAACACTGCGACTAGCTTGTCCATTTCCTTTGGATTTGCTTTGATTCTAGACAGATTTGATAAAGGCTATTGCATTTTTAATTGACAATCAGAGCTTTGCTCTTCTTTCGAGTGCAAGATACGAAGCTGCCTGGCGCTTAAAATACTCGAGGCGCACCATCTCTGGACTCTCCTTCAGACTTCTAAATGTGTGTGGTCGTTCCATTTTTGCGCGCGAGCTTTTGACATTGAGCAGATTGTTGTCTCCGAGAATCGAGCCCGAACGTTCAAGTCTTAACTTAGCTCGGCTTTAGTCTGCAAAGTTACGTAAGCCACGATATCTCGTCATCATCCTTGTGGATATATTAGAAAAGAAGAACTCTGGCTCGATAAAAAATAATGATAAGACAATGGTTGCGTAGTCGCCGAGTGCGCACGAAAAGATCAGGCGCACAATGCTCGCGGATAGAAATGAAAGTCGAGTTGGCGACTGCATAGCGAATAGATAAAAGCTGATTAAGCGCTCAAGAATCCGACAGCGCTGTGGTTCTTTTTTCCTCCTCATCCTTGAGAGGGAGTGGACCTTGCCAGTCGCGTCGGCGGCAGCCAACGCTCCCACGCCTCGCTCTCGACACAGTCTAAGCTCCGAGTGCCTAATATCCGGAGCAACAGGGGCAACTCTCCGACTGTACATGTGTACACCCCCTCGGCGTCGCTTGCGTGCACGCAAGCGACGCGCCGACTCCACCTAGCAGCTCTCGCTCCCTTTGTTCGCCAGCGGCGGCCTGTCACGGACTCCAACCGTCCAGATATCCACTCCGGTATAAGCGAACCTTTCGATCCGCCATCAAACAATCAACACTTTACTTTCGCATTATTCATGCGTGTTCGCCAATCACTTGGCACATTCATCGAAGAATACGCCCTGCTGAGACACTGCTTGATCAGTTGGCGTACGGAGCAGTATCGTACTCGCGTGGAGAAGAGCTGCGAAACCAACCGAATGAACGGTTTATTGTCACGTGATTGGATGCAATTAATCCACACCGACGCAGACGTACACGCACTTTTGATTTCATAACGCTCATCGGAGAGTTGGAGGCGCTCCGTACCTAATATACGCATGTCGCCTGGTGAACGGCATTTGGTGTGCCTCTTTCCGCGCTCGCGCTCAAAGCTCTCGGTGCAGGGGCTTTCGTCGATCTCTTTGTCCGGTTCCTGCTGCCAAGTGTGTGGGTATCGCGCCAAGCCATACGCACACACCTACGGACCGCGGCGTTTCCCGCACGCGCGCCTTAGAAAGTGCAGGCCGGGCCGCCCGCATGCATGCCTTATTAGGTACG